GAGGGCGATAAAGTGAGACTCTGTCTCAGAAAGAAAAAAAAAAAAAAAGAACTAGAAGGCTTGGCGCCTGTAGCTCAGCAGCTAGGGCGCCAGCCATATGCACCAGAGCTGGAGGGTTCGAATCCAACCCAGGCCTGCCAAACAACAATGACAATTACAACCAAAAAATAGCTGGGCGTTGTGGCAGGTACCTGTAGTCCCAGCTACTTGGGAGGCTGAGGCAAGAGACACTTAAGCACAAGAATTTGAGACTGCTGTGAGCTGTGACGTCACAGCACTCTACTGAGGGTGACATGGTGAGACTGTCTCAAAAAAAAAAATTAGGAGAAACTCTTTATACAATGAGCTCCTAGCACATAAGTTCTCTAATAGCATGGGCTGTCCTTGTCCTTCACAAAGGTCTTCCCAGCACAACCCACAGCAGGAGCTCACATCTGTAGAATAAATCAATGAAAGTGCAGAAGAGCAAATGGTATAAAAACTCTCAGAATAGCCCTGCTGGTGTACTGTGAGATCCAATGAGACGTGAACAGCTAACATTTATTCCTATCTATAGCAAGAGTGTTTAAAATACAATCATTTGGCCATAAACACACACACATACCCCCCTTTCATGTCTGACTATCAAAAGACAAAACTCACATAATAAAAATTTATTTTATGGTTCATTTGCTGATTCACTTCTATTTTCTAAAACAAAGGCTCTTTTGGAAGGCACTTAAATGTTTCTTTAATATTAGAGTTTGCTGAAGTGGAATTAGCAGCTTGCTTTTCTAGTTTTATGAATCATTATATAACCTGCCAGATTAGCATATTTCTGTAGCATCTCATCACAGGACTCTGAGTTACCTTAAATCCCACACATTCAGGCGGCGATCAGTACCACTTGAAGCCAGAATAGTTTCATTATGTGGAGACCAGTGGACCTAGAAATAGGTTATTTAAAAAATGTATTTAGCGAATCATCCACTGCTAGGTTTGTGGCTAGTTTTTTTTTTTTTTTTT